CTCTGGTCTAGATACACAAAGGCAAGTGACCTTTGGCAGCCGCACAGGTATCATTTATTGAACAGCGTGGTCACCTAACCTTTACCTTGATACTTGATGCCTCGACAGTAGCGGCGGCGGATCAGTTGTGCGACTCGTCAACGTAAAATGGATTATATCGTTCTTCACAAACTCGTATCTTACAGCAAACCGAATTTCACTCAACTCATTATTATTTGAATTATTGTTTGGGTAGTTCAGGAGTTATTATGAACTGTTCAGACCATACGTTCATTGGTTGAAATCCTCAGTTCAATTTATTTTCACAAGCACCATTCAGAACTTGCCATGAATGAACCCAGTTTAATTGATCCGTCCTTGACTCACGCATCACCTGACGATTAGTTCCTCCCCACCTTATTCCACCTAATGATTAACGATAACCTAACCTCCACCCAGGTAGCGTTAGGGTGTCTTAATCAGGTGAAATAACTTGGAGTGGCTAATCTTCAGATGGTCCACAAGCACTGTTCGGGGCTGTTAATTCCCGATGCGGACCCATGTTCTAATTAATCTGCACCTACTTGAAGACTCGTGGGTTGTTCCGGGTATACTTCCATCAATAGACCCATGTTCCGTTTATGTGCTCTTGAGGTGAAGACGGTACAGGAGGCGTGAGCAGTATGTTTTCATAGGGCTGGTGCTGAGCTAAGTAGAGCGCGTCGACGATATACTGGCCGCCTCCATCACCTCAGTACTCACTCATTTGTGTACACGCTGCCGCCGTTATCTCTACATCCGCCTTACACACTCAAAAGATTAAAAAATCATAATGTTCCCAATACACCTAAACAACTCTGAACACTCGTGTAAATATTTTCATAAAGGTAAAGTGTTAAGTACGGAAATCGGAGTGGCTACGGCCTTTCTTTATTAATTGATTTAATAAAAATAATCACGTTATTTTTACATTAGGGCTCTTCACCTTAAGAGAATACTCGTGAGGACATAATAGCAGCTCGGGCTGTCTCTCTTGTATCTACTTAAAACAAATTTAATTCAGAAGAGCACTTCGTTCATCGTTACAGAGGAAACTGGAGAGGAAAACTACTTTTATAAATGACACGCACACGATTCTGGTCCGAAGGTTAAAACATATTTTCATACTAAAAAAAAAAAAATCATAAAACGCTCAACTAGCTTATCAAAAGAGGATTTTAAACTTTTTACAATTCTGGCATCAACAAACATGACAGGAGTGAGAGACACGCGGCTCTCATTTAAACTTGTATTTACTTTACCATTTATATCTCCAGACGTTAAAGATAATAATAGAAACAAATTCTTAATTAAAAATGACTACATTCATACTTATATTATTATGCATGGTATACCGGGCACTTAGTAATAACTAAACAGTTACTTTTTTATTATATTCATTTGGCAAAATTATGTGTCTGGCATAGAAGTATAGGGGTGAACAAACAAGGCAGATTGGTGGTTTTTACAATACCTTGGACGCAATCATCCTTAAAATTCAATATATTTCAATACCCAAACAGGTCTACGCGGCATAAAATTAATGAACAAATGGGGAGTATGTATAACAGAAATAGCTATATGCAATATGAGAACTGACCTTTAACACTTAAGAATACGTTGGTTGTTACTTTAAAGAATCATGGGTGTAATAATAATAAACGATTTATTAATAGAGTTGCAGCCGGTGGCTGAAAATATACAAACTTACATGTGATTTAGACATAATGATATGCATTCAATACATTTACAGGACTGTACAGTACATAAATCAGGAGTTGTTTATTATTTTAACAATAAATGGGATATCTATCAGTGCGGGCTCTTATGGGTTGAATTTTGCTGTAGTAGCGGACTGCGCGAGGTGGGCGGGGGACTGCCGGTGGCAGGAGGTGGCGATGACGAGGATGATGCAGCAGTCCACTGCCAAACCTTGCTAGTGTTTGGTGGTGGAGATCACTGAGGGATGGCATTTCCAGGGTGGAGAGAGCGTTGTTGTTGCCAGAGTAGTCTGCACCGAGCATGATTCTGCAGGCCCTTTTCTGTACCTTCTCTAGCTGACGTTGTTGGGTAGAGTTGAGAGAAGACGACCAGGCTGGTGACGCATACGTTAGTTTGGGGAGAATAAAGGCGTTGTAGATAGTCCTCAGCTCTGGCGTGGGTACCCCAAGTGACCTCAGTCGTCGTAGTATGTACAGTAGAGTCGATACGAAGCTGCCTTGATTGAGTAGTTTACATGGGCCTTCCAGTCCAGTTTGTGGTCTATGGTAACACCCAGGAGTTTGGCAGAATGTGTGTGTGTGTGTGTGTGTGTGTGTGTGTGTGTGTGTGTGTGTGTGTGAAACAAATGAACAAACAGGAAAACTCTTTTTAATATAAACAATTCAACCTATCAAGAATTTTACAGTCGTGTGTACGGTACATATTACAATACAAAGGAATGGCATGTATCTACACTCAAACTTACACAGTCCAGAGAAAGAGAGGAGGTGGAGGGTGGGGGGGTTGCAGCAGTGAAGCCAGCCTTAGCATGCACAGTTAGCTAGCAGGCCCATGGGAAGGGGGGGGCAGGAAAGGAGGGGTAACAGATGCACACTGCTAGGCTTAATGCTAGCCAGGAATATTACAGCCTATCCGTTGTAACTTTCAACGCCAAATGTATTAGTATATTACCACAAAAAATACGTGATCACCTGAAGACTAGTTCCCCCAATAGATTATTTCACCTTAATATTAACCATCCTGACGATAATCTATAGCATAATTTTACTTAACTTTCCCATAAAGAGTTTGAATGTTTAATCAGCAAGTGAAATAAGTTGGCGGGGCAAATTTTCACAAAAACAGTTTTAATACAGAGAAACCACTGACCGGAGGAAGGACCTTAAAATGACTTCCGGTTTAAGTATGAATATTCAATTGTGTTGTCGTATACTCTTAATACTCGTCTGATGTGTGGACTACTTACATAAGATTTAGACAATTACCGTAACGATCTGAAAGGTGCAGGGTGGGACCATGGTGTAAATATTTAGACTATGGGGGAAACATTCCGCCCTCTCGTCGCCAAAAGGTTGCTTGTTCGCGCCGGGCATCTTTCTGTCAGTGGGTACAGGGTACATTGCAGTTGAGCAAGTGATGGTGGGCGATCGAGTGCTGTGCTGCCTATTGTTTACTAAAACCTTGTCTCCATTGTTTCTTTCTCGCACAGGGCTATTGAGTCACCTGAAGATTAGACACCCCAGCTTATTTCACCTGATAAATGAACACCCTAACACTAGCCTAACCCCCTAGGTAGCATGAAGGTGTTTAATCACTGGGAGAAGTAAACTCGGGTGTCTAATCTTCATGTGATTCTTATTATTTTATTGAATCCGCCAGGAGACGTCAATTTAAATCCATGTGACGAAAGATACCCTCAACATAGTCATTATAAAACCTAATTAAAGAAGATATGAGAGATCAATATAACGATTAACCCCAGCTATTTTTTTCACCTGAAGATTAACCACCCCAAGTATTATAACGTTTGGGTGTTTAATTATCAGGTGAAATAAGCCGGGGAGAGGTGGACTAGTCTTCACATGATCCGAAACGTGTCACTATATATCTACAGTACATATGATGTTTTAGGGAAGGTGTGATACAGAGCGAAAAATGACAAGACCCTGGAAACACTGGTCTCGACACACACAAACATAGGATATGGCAGACAACGCCTATGACGTGAGCAACCAGCAGAGGTGATTGCCCTGGTTAACAATAACGGCTGCGTTTATAACGTCCTTAACGGTAACGCACTATTTCTTCACTGCAACGGACTAATTTCTTAACCAGTAATGCAATAGACTTATCTGTTTAACGAAATGACTAATTCCATTAACGTAACAAACAATCTCTTAAATGTAACAAGGTAACTAACTTCTTTAACGTAACACCAATACCAAACTCATATAAATGTAACAACTCCCTCGGACGTAAGATAATCCTACAAAAATATAATACATATTAATGACAGATAATTACTGATATTAAATATATTACAACGAAATTACCTTCAATTGTATGTAACTAGTTAAGTGAAAATAGGTAAGGTAAAGTTAAATAAGATAAGGTTAGGTTAGATTAGGTTGGGATAACTTAGTTTAGGTGAATAGGGTGAGGTAAGGTAAGAATAGGATAGGTTGGTCATTACAGCTATGAAATTGACAAACACACGGGGTCACCTTCAGCAAAAAAACATACAATACTATGGATGAGAAAAGATATTCTAACTGGTGGTGAAGAATAGGAATATGACGAAGATAACACGTGAAAGTGATGATGAGACAAACGTGAAGATGACGATAAAGCGACACACAATATAACAGAAATCAACACAAACGATGAAAAATGATCTTACGTATACGAACAGGGATGATAGTGAAATAATGGCTGATGGTGAGATGCACGAAGATATATGATGATGACGATTCACTAAACCACAGTATGTGAAAGTGACGATGATCAAACGACGCTGTGGGGTTTAATTTGCTCAGTGATGCGAAATCTTAATGCCAGATACCAACACGGAATTATGACAACATCAACCATTACAATTCCAACACATTCAAATACGCGAATGAAAAGTATAATAATCAATATTAACATTGCCTATTCCTTTAACAACAACAAAATTAAAGGTTCAAGTTTCCGATATTTTTTTCTTAGCTTAATAGAGACATTACAGTATAGTCAAATTAACACACACATACCGTTTAAGAGGTTTCACAACTATGGCAATACGCGTTGGAAAAGTTGTATAGGCAAATGTCAGCTTGGGGTCATCCATGTGGTTTTAAAACGCACGACCTGCTGCACTGTGGCAAACACCATGACAACACCTGCTTCACCCACAGCTTTTAAGACATATTGGGGTGTGTGTGTGGGTGAGTGGAGGGGAGGAGGGGCCAGCCAGGTAAGTGTGTATACAACTAACTTACCTGTCCTTTGTTGTAACGCACGATCCACCCCGTCGACCGGTCCTGCCAAGGTACTCCCAAGATATCTCCTGTTATTTTCCTTATATCAAATACACCGGGATAAAACTGAGGATTCGTATTATATAATTCACTTTATGTAATCCGGGGAACACTCCACACGGACTGTCACGCTTCCAAACAGACGACTTCTTTATGAATTGGGGGGAAATATCAAAATCCAGAGCACACACTCCCACTCACAGCACCATCTCCACACTGAGAGTGGCTCGGCCTGGCGTCGCCCAGCTGACACGAGAGGCCAACTAGTTATTTTATAGTAAGATTATTTTAGTCAACCTCGTTCAGGCTCTGTTATAATTAGATGATTAGTTTCATTAATAGATTGAAGGTAGTCTTTGAATATCATTTTGCATACATTCTTCCACTGAAATTTGTTATAACTAAGACCAACACATGACACTTATTTTGCTCATTATTTTATTGAATTCGCAACTTACTGAGCAATATTGATAATATAATAGTAGTTTTTATGAAGATTCGGATAATAACAACAAAAATTATGATCAAATGTCAATGCTTCCAGAGAAAAACGTACATAGAAATAAAGAGTAAGTGGCAACTAGCAGCGTGTCCTGCCTTGGGCGAGGTGCGCGCGCAGCTGACCTGCCGTCGCTCTCATTCTCAATGCACTGTGAGAATTATACCTGTATTTGTGAAGACCAGGTTTTGTTAATATTGTCCACATTTGTTTAAGGTTGTTCATGACGTATCGGTATTGGTTACAATATATGTTTCCTACTGTATATGAGACGTTTGTATTTTATGAGAAAAAAAAAGAAAGGTTGAAGTTCTTCGATATGTCAAGAGAATCCATATACTGAATAAAGATAGCAATATACGTATTTAGTGCGTAGGAAGCACAGGTGTAAAAGCAGTTTAGTACCAGGGCTGGGCTGGGCTGGGCACAGATAAACATCTTTATTTTTAATAAATTACAGAAATTATTGAAGTAAAGGCTAAATAGTAAACCGTAAAATTGCTGACAAGAAATACCTGCAACAACACAAACTGAGCTATTGAATCGAGTTTGAGGTGCGTCAACTAGCAAACTAATAAAAAATGACAACTTCTTACCTCGTCTATAAAATTACGACAAACAACAAACTAATAATATCTCCTAGCTAATGTATACATGAAGAAACACGTTAAAGCAATATTATAACTTCTTTACCTTTCTATACAAAAACTAATTATACCAGTAGATATTGGTATTGTAACAATTTATTTAAACAATATATATATATATATATATATATATATATATATATATATATATATATATATATATATATATATATATATACAAAGTGAACAATAACAACAGTATTAAAATGGCCGAAGCAAGTGGGAGCCTCGGCACTCTACTGGCACCTGATATATACTGTGCATTTACCTCAAGGAATTACTGTAAAACATTTAGTCGCACCGGACTGCACATCTACCTCAAGGAATTACTATATAACATTTAGTAGCATCGGGATTACAACAAACTATATGAAGTTAACAGAGACATAAGATTTTTACCTCATTTATCACAGGTAGCGTTGGGGTGGAGATCCTTCAGGTGAAACTGGCTACAGTGGATATTCTTCAGGTCTAGGTGGTTTTGTGTTGAGAAGGGTGAGTGATTCGCCGAAATGTGTACGCAGAATAAAACATGGTTCCAAGAAGTGGTTGATATTGTAAATTTTTGGGAGTAATTAATTACACCCATAGAATGGCAAACTAGTCAGTAGCTCCGCACCTCAGCTCAACTTAGTATGATAACAAAATAATTTTATTTAGTTATCAAGAAGACATTTTTCCCTTCTTCAAAAGTCGGCAAACTTGACAGTACAACTACTTTTACTTGCTCCCAAGATATTTTTCCTCTATTCTATCTTTTCTTCTTTCTCTCTAGAACTGAGGTATTTTCACCTATTCCACCAACAGTTGTCATTAATCGCAAATGTCTATGTTCCCTAGTACGTGAGTTACTAAGAGAGGTGCTCGCCAAGCATGTACTGGTAGAATTTTTATTATTGTTGTTCACTGTTAACCGATTTGATTCACGCCTTAAATCATGTACGTACAGTATTTTTTACTCTACCCCACAATGGTATTTTTTCTAATGTCTGTCACTCTCTTAATGCTTATATCTAGAATATAAAGCAAAATTAATGAAATGAACTTCACTAATGTATCGCGTGACGAAAATATAGTATAATTTTAGTTATCCATAAAGAGTTTTCTTTGTTTTTCATTGGTGTAAATAAAAATGGTATCATCCAATCTAATGAGGGACTATAACATATTAGAAGGGGGCAATTATTTGCTTCGGGATATAAGTAATAGTGGAATAAAAAAATGGCAGACTGTTACATTCTTTGTACCAATAAGAAACCTGCATCAAGGAGCCAAAATAGTTAAAAACATATTATTACTTCAACGTGAACATATGCTCATAATTCCAGTTAGAGAAAATAAAAAATATTTATATATGTTTTATAATTATTGCCCCATAAATCAATCCATTCACTGTTTCGATGTCAAAAGCTCAAGTGTGTTAATGTCATGTTACACTTTTCAGGAAAATAAACTCATTCAATGTTTAACATTTTATTACCGGTGTTCCAAGAAATTTTCAATCATAAAATATGATCTCTGGGGTGAAGAACTAGGGATATATATATAAATATTGTTCCTTTACATATTAGAGCACCATATACCTATCAATTCACCAGTCAGCCTGGGTGATCCTCAGGGCCGGATTCAGGAGTGGGCAAAGTGGGCAGCAGCCCAGGGGCCTCCACAATCTGGGGGCCTCCACATATTACAATATTGTATTTATTTTTTTATTCATTTGGATTATTTTTATTTTTATTTTTTTAAATTCATATTTAGCTGTGAAGTCTCTTGAAAATTTTTGACATGTGCGGTAGTAGCTATATCAGGGCTGGTCGACTTGAAACCACATGAATGACTCCAGTCATGTCTCACTTTTGTGTGTGTGTGTGTGTTGGGAATTTGTACACTATCAATAATTATACAGTTAATTAAAAATTTCTCAATGTTCTAATTTCCTCAATATAACTGCATATGGCTTCAAAATTCTCCAAAGAAGTGTTCAAATATCAAAATTTTCCCGGGGGGTTTACAGCGCCCCCCGGAACTCCCAGATGTTTAGGCTCGCTTCACTCGCCACCCCACCCTCTTGGGTAGTTATAATGAGGGGGGCCTCCACAAAGAAGCTGCCCATGGGCCTCCACAGGTCTAAATCCGGCACTGGTGATCCTCTGATGAACAGCATGACAAAGTAAACTATGTTTTAGGCCTACTATAACGCGTGATCACATAAGACGTTTACAAAGAGCGGCATAGACTTAAAGTGGTATTATATCAAACCATAAGTATAAAGGCAAGGAGTTTTTAAATTAAAAAAAACTCCGACTTAACCAACTCAATTCTCAGGTCCAGAGTAAACAAACAAACATTGGCATCAGCTCATTTACTCCTGCCAGCCTCCTCTTTATGATGCCTGCGGTCGAGTCTAGTTACATGACCAAACGACGTATACAGGTTAGTATGAAGGCTTACCCCGTGACGCAGGCCTCGGTGGGCTCTGGGGTGGACACTGTTGTAGCCGGGGTGGTGGTCTCATCTTCACAGTTCTCCTCCGTGTTGGTAGTAGGGGGTGGCGTGGTGGTTTCTTCCTCACACTGTGGTTCCGTGGTAGTGTCACTAGCAGCTGTGGCGGTGGTAGCTGTGGCGGCGGTAGCTGTGGTGGTAGAAGCTGTGTCAGCAGCAGTAGTGACAGCTGTAGTGGTGGAAGCTGTGTCAGCAACAGTAGTGGCAGCTGTGGTGGTGGAAGCTGTGTCAGCAGCAGTAGTGACAGCTGTAGTGGCAGCTGTGGTGGCAGCAGTGGTGGCAGCTGTGGTGACAGCTGTGGTGGCAGCAGTGGTGGCAGCTGTGGTTGCATCAGTGGTGGCAGCAGTGGTGGCAGCTGTGTCAGCAGCAGTAGTGACAGCTGTGGTGGCAGCAGTGGTGGCAACTGTGGTAGCAACAGTGGTTGGCAGCTGTGGTGGCAGCTGTGGTGGCAGGTGGCAGCAGTGGCAGCAGTGGTGGCAGCAGTGGTGGCAGCTGTGGTGCAGCAGTGGTGGCAGCAGGTGGCAGCAGTGGCGGCAGCAGCAGCAGCAGTGGTGGCAGCTGTGGTGGCAGCTGTGTCACCATCGGTGGTGCAGCTGGTGGCAGCAGTGGTGGCAGCTGTGGCAGGTGGCAGTGGTGGCAACTGTGGTGCAGCAGTAGTGGCAGCTGTGGTGGCAGCAGCAGTGGTGTGGCAGCTGTGTGGTGGCAGCTGTGTGCAGCAGCAGTAGTGGCAGCTGTGGTGGCAGCTGTGGTCAGCAGCAGCAGCAGTAGTGGCAGCTGGTGGTGCAGCAGTGGCTGGGTGTGGTGGCAGCAGTGGTGGCAGCTGTGGTGGCAGCAGTGGTGGCAGCTGTGGTGGCAGTGGTGGCAGCAGTGGTGGCAGCTGTGGCAGCAGTGGTGGCAGCTGTGGTGGCAGCTGTGTCACCATCAGTGGTGGCAGCTGTGGTGGCAGCTGTGGTGGCAGCAGTGGTGGCAGCAGTGGTGGCAGCATAGTGGCAGCAGTGGTGGCAGCTGTGGCAGCTGTGTCACATCAGTGGTGACAGCTGTGGTGGCAGCAGTGGTGGCAGCTGTGGTGGCAGCAGTGGTGGCAGCGGCAGTGGTGGCAGCTGTGGTGGCAGCAGTGGTGGCAGCTGTGGTGTGGTGGCAGCTGTGGTGGCAGCAGCGCAGCAGTGGTGCAGCAGCAGTGGTGGCAGTGGTGGCAGCTGTGGCAGCAGTGGTGGCAGCAGTGGTGGCGGCAGTGGTAGCAGCTGTGGTGGCAGCTGTGGTGCAGCAGCAGTGGTGGCAGCAGTGGTGGGCAGCAGTGGTGGCAGCAGTGGTGGCAGCAGCTGTGTCAGCAGCAGTAGTGGCAGCTGTGGCAGCAGTGGTGGCAGCAGTGGTGGGCAGTGGTGGCAGCTGTGGTGGCAGCTGTGGTGGCAGCAGTGGTGGCAGCTGTGGTGGCAGTGGTGGCAGCTGTGGTGGCAGCAGTGGTGGCAGCTGTGGCAGTAGTGGCAGCTGTGGTGGCAGCAGTGGTGGCAGCTGTGGTGGCAGCAGTGGTGGCAGCAGTGGTGGCAGCAGTGGTGGCAGCTGTGGTGGCAGCAGTAGTGGCAGCAGTGGTGGCAGCTGTGGTGGCAGCAGTGGTGGCAGCTGTGGTGGCAGTAGTGGTGGCAGCTGTGGTGGTAGCAGTTGTTTCAGCAACGGTAGTGGCAGGCGTGGTGGTGGTAACTGTGGTGGTCGTAGTCACTATAATGACAAAAAAACAAAGTTTTAATTTTTCACTATACATGTGATACAAATATAAACACCGATGACGGCACCACCACCAAGACGGTTCCGGTACGACAAACTTACTGTACTGTACTGTTGGTTCTCCCACTGTATTTTGTCTTCAGTGGCTCCGTGCACAGTCTGGGAAGTCAAACGTTTCTGGTAATAATTTTACTTAAGTGTCTAAGTTATAAATGCTTCCATTGTGGCAGCTTTGAGATATAAGTACTGTAGTTACAAGAGTGTGCAATAATAGTCAATGATATAGTTCTCCCACATTAACCCATAGAATAGAATATAACTAAATAAGATGGAAATAAAGAATTGAGTAAGAGAAACTGAAAGAAATGCAGTAAATACTTTGGGAATTGAAATCGAAATTAAAATAGTAGAAACAAATAGAATCTAAGAAAGTTGAAGACATAAAATAAAGTGACAACAGCCAAACCTTAAGAATTTCCCCTCATTACAATATTACTTTTATCTTATTCACCTTTAAAATAAAACATGAAAATATTCTTACCACACGTGCAGCCGGCTATTTGCTTGGCTTCTATGTAGTTCTGGGCACCAGCCACCTTTACACATACCAACTTAACGCAGTTACTCGCCAGGTCCGCCAACTTAGCGCCTCCCCAGTACTTTTTACCGTTGAAGGTACATTTATTGGTGGCTCGAAGGTAGCCCAGGAGGTGATAACCGCTGTCCACATAAGAGTCGGGGAGAGCATCTCTACCCGAAGTGCAGGTTGTCGAACAACCGTCGATAGGAAGCAACTGGACACTTGGAGTACCACTGGCTGACCATTTACACTTGACTTCAGCACAGTTGGATGAAAGCGTCTCTATGGTCTGGTGGAGTAGATGATAACACTGATAACACTGATAACACTCACTACATAACTCCTAGTAACACAGTGGTTGTAATGCTCACTTTATCTACACAACTCCTAGTAACACAGTGGTTGTAATGCTCACTTTATCTACATAACTCCCAGTAACTCAGTGGTTATAATGCTCACTTTATCTACACAACTCCTAGTAACACAGTGGTTGTAATGCTCACTTTATCTACACAACCCCTAGTAACACAGTGGTTGTAATGCTCACTTTATCTACATAGTAACACAGTGGTTGTAATGCTCACTTTATCTACATAACTCCCAGTAACTCAGTGGTTATAATGCTCACTTTATCTACACAACTCCTAGTGGTTGTAATGCTCAATCTACATAACTCCTAGTAACACAGTGGTTATAATGCTCACTTTATCTACACAACTCCTAGTAACACAGTGGTTGTAATGCTCACTTTATCTACACAACCCCTAGTAACACAGTGGTTGTAATGCTCACTTTATCTACATAACTCCTAGTAACACAGTGGTTGTAATGCTCACTTTATCTACACAACCCCTAGTAACACAGTGGTTGTAATGCTCACTTTATCTACACAGCTCCTAGTAACACAGTGGTTGTAATGCTTACTTTATCTACACAACTCCTAGTAACACAGTGGTTGTAATGCTCACTTTATCTACACAGCTCCTAGTAACACAGTGGTTGTAATGCTCACTTTATCTACACAACTCCTAGTAACACAGTGGTTGTAATGCTCACTTTATCTACACAACTCCTAGTAACACAGTGGTTGTAATGCTGATTTATTTATACAATTTTTACTACAGTAGTGGGTGATGTATTATGTTAACCTCGGAATAAATCCTATAACTATCAATGGTTGTAAAAATGTCCTTTGGAACACATGCATAATAATTATTAGCGTTAGTAGTACAAGAATCTACACACTAATCATATGTGCCTTAGAGGTGTTGAGGCACACTTCCAACGATATTAAAGTCAGGATACTGTATACCTGTCCTTTACACCTGTACCTGCATTCCTGTATTAGGTACTCGACTTACCTGTCCTCTCCAATATGGCATCTGTACCTTTACCTATATTCCTGTACTTGTTATTCGATTCAACTTTTCTTCGCAATACTGTACCTGTATTTTACCCCTTTACCTGTATTTATATAGCTGTACCTGGTACGCGACTTACCTGCCCTCCCCAGTACTTCTTCCCGTTGTAGATGCACTTATTGGCTCTCAGGTTGGCAGCCTCACCCAATCCTTCAAAAAAATAAGATATAAAAATCGGATTTCAGGATATAATGTTGGTATTGTTATTGTTATAGAATATCCCTTCATTTAGTTAAGATGATATGGCAAAGAAGTTACTTAGAAGAGACAGTGACAGACAGAAACCCAACACAAAGATTGGCAGTGAAAGGCAGAGCCTTCCTTAATCATGGGGTGACAGTGATGTACAGAACATTACCTGCAAGAACTAGGCTGGAGAGGGCGGTACCCACGAGGAGTTGAACTGAGGTGAATGCTACCATGATGATGGCTGAAGGAAACACGCGCACCCACTACATCGTCACCCTCTTTTATATACCCACCCCTCTTTTCCCCTCCCCTTCCTCCTCCTACACCTCTCTGCTCTCGTGTGGTTGCCAGGTCAAGATAATTCTGAAGCAGATTGAGTTCCTTTCCACGTATAAATGAATGTGCTTGTGGTGTTTTATGTACATTTACATTTATATATAGTCTAACGCAGCACCTTTTCGTTGGGAAATAAGTCAAAAGTAAACAGTCAAATCATAGTTTGATGCACCGTATTGTGTAAATCCTTGCTCCCGTAGTGTTGTGTGTGAGTCAATTTATATTTTAATTATCGTTTGGTATTAATAAACTCATGCATTAATAAATTATTATCTCATCCCTAGTGAGATCTTTGTTGTACTCATCACTATTCTACACAAAAATTACAGTTTAATATGTTTAATGTAAAGATACAGTACTTGGTTCTTCTGATTTACTGGAAATGATAAAAGCTCTCTGTAACCCAACTTTTGTATGGCGGGGTTACTATCTTTATAGAGTGTGTGTGTTTGTTTCGGAGATCATTGTTGTCATTTGTGCCATTTCTTTGTACATCTTAATTTGTATTACATATATGGGTTTAAATCTGATATTAGGTGGTTATCGTTATTAATGTACTCAGGTTGTGGGAATGTGCGTTGTCTTCCACCCGCCATTCATACTTTGTGTTGTTCTCGGATCTTCAAGCGCCTGTTCTAACGTTACTAAATACACTTGTGACTCTTCATCAACAATATCAATTATGAAGAGAGCTACTTATCTCCCTGATTAACAAAATGATTAGCACCCCCAGCTTATTTCACCTGATAATTGAACACTAACATTATCTAGGGGGTTAGGTTAGGTTTAGTGGAACGTTATGGTATTTAATCATCAGGTGATATAAACTGGGAAGCTAATTTTCATATGGTACCAAATTTCGCCTGCTAGGGTACGTGGCGGTTTTCCTGAGTTATTTACTGGTAGCTCGAATAAACCAAAAAACAGCTAAAAATTATCTATGTTAAAATAAATTGTTTTCATCATGTATTCGTTGGCCGTGGTTTATACTTAATGAACGTTGAAATTAGTCAAATTTTCCCCTTTTTAGCCAGTGATGGTCCTTTTGAATGCGTATTCTAGGCTAGAAAATGCAATAGGCATAAACAATTGAATGTTAAAGACTGTAGTTCTTGAAGCTCAGTAATACCTTATAACATGAACGTAGTCTTCATTATTTTCTCTTTACTACGTGTTGAAAGATAATTCCCCTGGTTAAATAACACTTGAACAAATACTGGGCGGGTCACTCCCTCCCTCCCGGAGTTATTTACACAAGGGTGACGAAGATGGTCCACAAATAACAAGGTTATCCCATATAAATTAATTAAAACAGAAGATAAATATTTTTATATTCTCACTGTAAACTTTCTAGCTTCGGAACTCACTGTAGTGAACTTATCAGGCTATTACAGTCACACTTATCTGTAAATCATCCCCTTTTCAACTTGCACAACCCAGTATTTTATTTGACATTTCGAATTTTGCTGCCATTTTCTATGTAAAGTAAACCCCTGACTAGACCTTATGCTGTCATTAATTCATTATATAAGATGACGATAGTCATTGAAGGAACACTTAACTCATTACTGATAACTTATAGGTAATGAAAACACTTGAGCAAATACTTTATTTATAAAACATGTTCACTATGTCATTCAATCCAGGTTAACAGCACTAGTTTACAAATACTTCAATTTATCCATGGTAAACTCATTAAAAACATAAGCTGAAAGGATGTGAAATTCTGTAGATAGATTTCCACACTTCTGAATTGAAAACCCCATTAAAACAAGCTGTTCCTCACTATTTGTATTATTTAATAGGCGTTCAATAACTGATTCATTCATTCAATGTTTTCTAGAAATTGACACATTTATGCAAATTGATTTTACAAATTGTACAGTGAATAGAGTTACAAAGAGAGCATAGGACAGTAATGATTAACATTCCGAGGTGGACAGACCTTAAGTTGGTCGAACTTCGGACTTCAGAGTTCACAATTTGTGCTGTTACATTATAAGGTAGACTCCCAGATGTTCACAATTCTTACCTCAAAATTAGTTGGCTTTGAAATATTTGTTCTAGTAATCGCTTCTTTAACCTGAGATTATAAGCTCCTAAAGCTGGCCTGCCCAAAATGATAGTTTTAAGATCGGTGTATAAAATGAATTATAATATATGTTTAAAAGCTTAGTTGCAGAGACGCAAAAATACATTACAACAACTTCGAATATTGAGAAAACAGGAAGAATTACAGTACACCCCTCATTTTTTTTTAATAATTGTTGCCTTAGTGAAGGAAGGGTCCTACATTAGTGTACATACTAGGCCTTAGCTGTCAAAGTACGAATATACATATAAACAACCCTCGATGACTTGTTCTCGAACTACGAATAAAAAGACAAGTTACAGTAGACGTATACAGTATAGGGTGACGACGAAGAGGATTGGTGGAGGTCACAAGTGTGACGACCCCAATCTTCCCACCTGCCGACACTCCGCTTCAACACCTGTCCACCTCACCTACTGAGGAATTATATGAGACTTTCTGCAGTGTAATATATGAACCAGAATGGCTTGCCACGACTAAAATATATTAAAAAATGTTTTATCGTTAGAATTTAGTAATGTGTCAAGTTGTCAACGTGTTTGTCAGCGGTGAGAGTGTCAGTCAGGTGGTCAAACATTTGCTGGACATCATTATCAGTATCAAGCAATACAGTGACCACCGGCCGCACCAGTTATGTATTCAAGCATATTTTATACACATACGAATTCCTATGTAACAATGTTATAGTGACCAGTGACTCTCCCTGTGGTGTGGCAGTACTGCCCTGATAGTAGAACAATCAGAGCAATAGTGGTGTAGAATATTAAATGTAGCACTATACACAGTTTACGCGAAGAGATGTGCGGAATATCCTCGGCCTCAGAGACGTGTTAGTATCTCAACCTAATGTGAGCCGAGACAACATCAGGTCTGCGAACCTCAAGTTCACGTCGACGATACTTACAGTATATTTGAAGGGAAGAAACTTATTGTAATACGTGAAGAAGTACAGTACATCTTTATATTCATTCTGTATGCGAACCTGGTGAGCATAAAGCTGTCACCAGAGCCCAAGCATATCTACTTTGGTCCCCGAGCACTAGTGCCCGTACTCTTGAAACAAATGCCCCACTCCTTACCAACTCCATATATAGACACTATAGTATCAGGGACAGTCTCTTGGGCTTTTCAAATTTACGGGTCCCGGGACAACAGTATCCGCTTTCGGTGAGGTGAACACTCACAGATACTCACAGATGATCTTCTGGAAGAGGTTCACGCCTGTGACTCCAGCTCAATAGCCTCTTTTCTACTTAGACGGTGGCTGCGTGTGGCGGATATTTGTGCCCTATAATTATATACTTGTTCTTGATTTTTCCAGTATTTATCTAATTTTGCTTCAAACTTTTCCACCGTCTCCACATTCACTACCCACTCAGGTAACCCATTCCAGTTCCCTACTCGGGAACGAATGTCTTCTGAGATTTAGCCTCGCTCTTGTTTTGTAGATCTTCTTTGTGTTCCCCCGGGTAGTGTCATCTGGAACATTCCTGCTGTACATGCCTGGTCATATATGCCACACACTATCTTGTATGTTTCCACTTGGTCCCCACGAGATCTTCTGTACGCCAGTGTCGGTAACTGTAATTTCCTTAGTCTTTCCTCATAAAATAAATCCTTGATCTGTGGTACTAATTTGGTCGCCCTCCTCTGTACATTCTCTACTGCTTCAATATCCATAATGAGATATGGGCACCAAATTTGATTAGCATACTCAAGGTGTGGCCTAACCAGAGCAGTGTAACAGAGCCTTGAATATAGGTGAATCCAGATGAACAAAAGTTCTTCTAATAATGCCCACTATTTTATTAGCCTTGTTGATTTTTTCAGCTAGATGGTCAGAGAACGTCAGCTTATCATCGATGACTACCCCTATATCCTTCTCTACAGTGGTCTTCTTGATCGTGGTGTTCATATAATATCCATGGTCAACAACTTTTGTTCTTCCTATCCTCGTGTATTTACTTTTTTTCTGGGTGAAAGTTCAGCATCCACTTCTCAGTCCAATCCCTGATCCCATCCAGGTCCTCCTGCAGCATGTCACAATCCTCATCTCGTTCTATTTTCCTAAAAATCTTTGTGTCATCCGCATATAGATAAACACTGTCTTGTTTAATTGCCTCAGGCAGGTCATTGATAAAAGGGACAAACAGCAGGAGGCCGAGGACAGAACCCTGAGGGACCCCACTAGTAACCTCTCTCCAGTCAGATACTTCTCCATTTACCACAACCCTCTGTTTTCTCTTAGTTAAAAAATTCCTTACCCAACCAAGATATTTTTCATCAATGCGATAACTACCAGTAGATACTTTTTCTAATAGTCTTTTGTGGAGTACTCTATCAAAAGCCTTCATGAAGTCACAATACACAATGTCCACAGCCTGACTGTCATCGATAATTTCCGTCCACCTGTCTAGTACCCTAATCAACTGTAGGACTGTTGACCTGCCGGAAATGAAGCCAAACTGTTTATAACTAAACAATCCATATTTTTTCATATGGGATATCATCTCTTCCCGTAATATTGACTCCATTAATTTGCATATTACACTAGTTAGACTGACTGGCCTGTAGTTTCCTGATTCACTTTTACTTCCCTTCATATAGATAGCTGTGATATATGCAATACGCCAGTCCTCAGGTATATTTCCTTCTTGAAAAGAGCTTTCAAACAAGATCCTCAGAGGCTGAAGTAGTTCCTCCATCATCTCCTTAATGACTCTTGGATGTAACCCATCTGGACCGGGAGACTTTTGTCTTTTCAATTTTTGAATCACCTTTCTTATTTTGCCCTCGGTTATCTCCAGGTGTTCAACAGCTGGCACGTCTTTCTTGTTGGCTGTTGGTATCCCCCTATCTGGTTCCTTGATAAAAACTCGTGAGAATTGCTCTGAGAGTACATCTGCCTTTTCTTGATCATTCACAGTCTTAAAAAATAAAGAGGGTGCCTCGGGTGCGATCCAGTGACTCATAGGACTGGTGGCGGGAGATGTATACACTCACCCACCATACCCTTTTTTAAAACTTTTCAAATTACAGTAATCTGGAAGCAGGATCGTCCAGTCACTCACCTTTTTCTTGCCCGGATAACGTTTGAACCTACATCCTCTGTGTGTGTGTTGGAATTGAATCTGCTATTCGTTTCTTGTGCAAATGCATAATTTTCAATAATCTACATGGAGAATAACGTAGAGACCTAACCTAACACAACATAAAAAAATAATGAAGACTCTTACCTTAGTTCTTTTTGCACGCCACGCCACGCCACGAAATATATAAACACAAATTACAAGTGTTATATTAATTTGCACAAGAAATGCCAGTTTTCCATATTCAGTTTGAATAGCCGATCACAGCCCGCTGTTCACGTTTTAGAAGTTTGACTGGGCGCCGAAACGAAGATTATCCCAATTTGTTTTATGCGAGGTTTGGTGTGTCTTGAATCTAAATCCCCCTGTAAATTTTATCATATATATCCCTAAGTGTAAACCCAAGGGTAAACCACAAAAAAATAGCTGATTCTTTTAAATTGTTAACAAAACTAAATAAAACAGGATTATCCTCCAATTTATTATAACTGATAGAAAGTGAAATAAGGATAATTAATATAAAATAAATAAGTTATGTCTTTATGAGGCAGTTTTAATATAATAAAAAAGGGCGGTGGTGTGGGTGGGAGCCTCACTTTGTTTTTGTTTTGATCCTGTAATACAAGTGAGCCTCCATCTGCGCACTCCCTTCATTACACTATTGAAGATTAACTGTTAGCTAAGAGCCAAGTCTAGTAAATCCAAGTTCCCTATCGTTTAGAGAGATAAATTACAAAAAAATTATTGCAGATAGTGTTGCTCGGGGTGCTTATTTTGTGGAAGGTAATACTCATTGACCCTGCTCGTCCGCCTCTAGGATCAGGAAGGGAGGGAGCAGTTTGATCGCTATTATTTTCCAAGTAGCAGTTACCGAATTGACGCTATCTGAGTGCCCTCCCCGCCGGGATGGAGGGTGTTGAGGGCACTCCACTTGTGCTGGATGCTTTGGAAGAATCTAAAACTCTGCTGGTGTACTGTGGAAGTGGTGAAGAGGAAGACGTATCTCCGACGGAGGCGCAGCAGAGGCTCCAACTCTCGGCCACATTCGACCTGAAGCCTCCCATAACACAGGAGAACCAGTAAGCATTAGGCGTCTACGAGAAAGTACTTATATCTATGTATGAACGGTTTGCTAATTTATGGTGCTTTTTTAAATTAAATTCTCCTAGAATGTTGCATGAAACGATGAAATCAAGGTGTAGTGTGGCCAGCTAGTTGGATTTTCTGTTATCGTAGAGAACTTCTAATCTGTTGGACATTTTTATATGATTCTGGAGAACGTTTAATGGAAGATATTGGTGAATTATATTACTGAAGTCTGTATGTGGTGAATTATATTCAATAATTAGTATTTTCCATAAAATCAACAATGGCCACTCCTTTAACCTAGAGGTTGGAGAAGCTATATAATTATCTTATCACTTCAAGCCACCATAATCTTACACACAACTCCTTAAGAAGGCTGCCACAAGAGAAGACCCTACAGGCTCTCCTATCTCTATATACTGTACCTCCTTTGGACCTCTGTTTCCTTCCTCCCTTCCCTGTTTTCTCCTAAACTTATTGTTCTCCACTTATGCCAGCCATATATATATATATATTCTTTTTCATTTACAGCCTAATCAAACTCCTTCAGCATGTGATGTGCTCGTATTTAACCTCATCTTCCACCAGGTTTTACAGCCCTTTTTTGTCTCTGATTTTTTCTTTGGGTTGTAAATATCACCTTCTCAGTTTAAATTTTGCAAACTCCACTTAGTAAGGGTGTTGGTGGTACAGCAGTAATACATGTATCTCTCATCATTGTATCTTGGATTCAAGACCTGGCTAGGGACAGACATGAGAAGAGTGTTTTCCAGTATGGACCTCCCAAACATCACAGGTTTCCTCTGGGTACCCTGGGTTCCTTCTCTACTTACACTGGACATTAAAGGTCCAAATAAAGTAACAAAGAACAGACAATTCATCCGAATGGTGAGTTAGCTGATAAGTAGGGAAATGATAAATTTAAATGAATTAAAGTTAGCTAATCTTCTTATTATTTAGGGACTTTATTTTAGGCTTTTGAACCATGACGTGAAGCTTCACCAAAGTTTGAGTGGCTCTGAAGATTGGGCGTCCTAGTGGCCCTACTGTATATAAGCTGATGGTTAGACATCATAATGCTAACCTAACCCCCCAGGTAGCATATGGATGTTTAATCATCAGGTGATATAAGATGTGGTGCCTAATCTTCTGCGGGTCCCTTTGAGTCAACAATTATATGTGATTGACTGTACAACTCTGGATGAACTTGATGAGAAAGAGCTGCTTACAGCAGAAACATTACCTTATCTTGACCCTATGTATAATGTACAGGTACGGCTGGCAACAGGTAAGCTCTGCTAGGATGTGATTTAGCAATAAGGATCTCATAGGTAGCTAACTCATTTCTTCTCAGTCATAAAAGTGGGGCTTCATACTTTATTCCTCCAGGATTCAGGTTATACAGTTAAAGTATTAGGTATGTAACAAACTGACCAAAAGCTCTTCCAGAGAATTTGCTGTTATGATTGTGAATATATTTTGTAGTTTATTATGAGGACAATGTGTTCATATTTGTATGTTTCTTTTGTTTATTTCTAGTTGATTAGTTTGTTTGCATCCTGGTCTGGTACTTAACATTTTTGGGATGTGCTTGATCAGCTTTAATTTGATTGAGTAAAAATTCAGATTGCCTGACGATTTACCCCCAACTTTCTTCATATGAAGGTTAACCACCTTAATGCTAACTTCACTTAACCTAACCTAACCCCCTGGGTAGCATAAGGGTGGATAATCTTCAGAAATAAGCTAGAGGCCTCATTCTTCAAGTGATCTAAAACCTCATACATGCATGCATGTATGAATATTTACCTGGGATTACACTTAAAGTATTAGAAACACTTGTTTCTAGTGTGAGTCTCATTCTTGCTTATTGTACTAATTTTTGCATTTTCTGAATCTTTACTTAGTCTTCACATTTTGTATGTTACACTATTTTTTTTTCTGCATATGTTTAAACAGCTCTGTCTATTTATCATAGAGAGGAAGCTCTGTGGCTTGTGGGAAACACAATACAACTGGGGCTTCACGACGGTAACAACGGCAGTGATCAAACAGTGGTGCTTGAAGGGTCGGAGGTGGTGGGTGATGGAACCATATTAGAGGGTGAGACGCTTCTGCTCCTAAACGATGATGTTCGCCTCCTACCCATCACCCAGGATGTCTCCACTACTGATGAGGTTCTGGTTTGTGAACATACTTATGTACAGAAGTTCTTTTCATGAGAAATTGACAAGAGTAAATTAGGTCTTAAAGTACTGTACATGTAAATAGGCAGAGTGGATCCTTGATAGAGAATGAGACCTGGTTTCTTAAGGACTATGAGGGCATATCCTAGATTAGTTAAGAGGGGATGTTTCCAAATCAACACCTAGACACACCCCTTTGTTTCCATACCACCCCCTCTCCATCTACTGTTTCACCAACTGGCATGGAAATATTTTACGACAATTTAATGGAAGTACAAGTCTAAATCCAGAAGTTGCTCAAGCATAGTGTGCCTGTATAGTGGTAGTGTGTGGCCATTAGTCTAGTGTGTGGGTTCACTGTTTTTCCATGGTTCTTACTTGCTTTTGTCACATTTTGACTTATTATCTTAAGTTTATGCTGTTACAGCATAATATAGCATTATGATAATAGCTTCTAAAAGTGTAACTGGATATGATAAAGATTCTGTAAAGGGATGCAATCATTAAATGTCTTGGGTGGTGTCAATAGAAATCCCAAGCCTCAACAAATACACACATTCTGCTGTTGGCCAATCATGACAGGGGAGGGCCCATCACCACACAGTACCTTAAACTAACTGAGGTACTTCCTGTTGGTTTAGTTAGTTTTTAGTTTCAGTAAGATCGCTGAGCCGAGTATTTTATTTATAATGAAAGAATTGTAAATTTAATGCTGAATGTTTTACAAATTGCTGAAATCCTAGTTTCAATAATTTTGAGTCTGTTAATGTGAAATTTTAATGTTTGTACAGTACAGTATATTATAAAAAGGAAATATCAGATTAAACTCCCATTGTTTATGATGAAACAAAGACTTAAATGAATACAGTACAGTAACCTACATCTGTATAACCCACACTGTCTCTCCACACTCCCGGCAGGTCATAACACTTATTAATTGAATGTGTCTTAAAACTCCCTTGTATCTGTATTTCCATGTTCATTTCTTATATTTCCAGAACTGGGGACAATCTTTTGAAAACTTTTGTTCTCATCAGAATTTTTGTCTAAATTAGAGGTTGGCACTTTATGAAATCATTCTCTGTAGAGGTTACTGTACTGTGTCTTCTATGAAGGTTTACTGTACAGGGGGTCCCCGACTTACGAACACCCGCCGATTTGAACGGAGTTAAACTTGAAATTTACAGTACAGGTTATTTTATTTACCTGGTGACTTATTTTTTTTACTTAAATTTACAGTACTGTATTTTTTCATTTTATTTCATCATTTGTCTTAAATTAAGTGATTTTAGATGTACAGTATATAAGGGCTTAGGCTATGATATAGTGGTATTTTAAACATTGTTCTGTAAGTACGGTATGCATATAGCAGGTGTTCCAACTTATGTACAAATCCAACTTAAGAATGCCTTCAGGAACGGAACCTGTTCGTAACCCGGGGACTCCCTGTATTATGTTTAATCTTTTTTTTTTTTTTTTTTTAGCTTTTGTCATTAAATGACCTCACAAACTTGATAAAAATATTTGCTGTTAGTTTTTATAATGTGAGAAGTACTGTAGAATGAAGTAATGGAACTCTATTTCTAAGTTATTTTTTCAGCTAAAAGTCAATACTACAAGCAAACAAATAAGAGGAAGAACTGCATGGCCTAAGAAATACCAGCCTAAGATGCCAAACAGAACAAGTCATTACAGTGAAGAATCCCCAAAACTGAGTAAGCTGAACTTGCCCATACAGACCGTGCCCAAGACGTACTCTCGTGCCAGCGCTACGACCACGCCATCGTCACCATCCCTCTCTGTTTCCAGCTCATCTTCCTTACCCTTAACCTTAGAGGCCAGACAGTTATCGTCAGTGGCAGAGTCGAACACAGTCTTAAAACACACTTCTAAATGCACTGGTAGTAGTTTATCTCTGCCTATCAAAACAGAAGAAATAACTATCAAAGTCGAAGAGATAGAAAATGTTCCTTCTCTTCCAACGCACCAAGAGAAAGGATCAAGACCTTCAGGAGTCAAATTCAAATTAGCTGCGTGCTCCAAGTCTTCGCTCGATGAAGATGAACTGAGTGAGGAGCCATTCTTAGGACCTTCAATGCGATGGCCAACTCAGCCCAAAAGTTACCGTGGGGCAAAGCCAAGAGATGGAGGGATACTCAGAAAGAACGTGAGAAAGGTGAGAGTATTGTTACATCTTTGTTATTGTCACAGGAGCAGGGTATATGATCACAGGAGCAGGGTATATGGTCACAGGAGTAGGGTATATGATCACAGGAGCAGGGTATATGATCACAGGAGTAGGGTATATGATCACAGGAGCAGGGTATATGATCACAGGAGTAGGGTATATGATCACAGGAGCAGGGTATATGGTCACAGGAGCAGGGTATATGGTCACAGGAGCAGGGTATATGATCACAGGAGTAGGGTATATGGTCACAGGAGTAGGGTATATGGTCACAGGAGTAGGGTATATGGTCACAGGAGAGGTATGGTCACCACAGGTATATGGTCACAGGGCAGATATATGATCACAGGAGCAGGGTATATGATGGGGAGAAATTATATGGTCACAGGAGCAGGGTATATGGTCTGGGGAGTATATGATCACAGGAGTAGGGGAGCATATATAGAAAGGGTATATGATCACAGGAGCAGGGTATATGGTCACAGGAGTAGGGTATATGGTCACAGGAGCAGGGTATATGGTCACAGGAGCAGGGTATATGATCACAGGAGCAGGGTATATGATCACAGGAGCAGGGTATATGGTCACAGGAGCAGGGTATATGGTCACAGGAGTAGGGTATATGATCACAGGAGTAGGGTATATGGTCACAGGAGCAGGGTATATGATCACAGGAGCAGGGTATATGGTCACAGGAGCAGGGTATATGATCACAGGAGCAAATGTGACTGAAACTGTGATCAGTGAAAGGAACCAGAGTTTATATGTTGCGATATGTATTTGTTAGTGAAATTAGCAAGCACTCCCATGAATTGCACACCCTTCAAGTGTGAACTAGTGAATTACTGTAATACATTATTTTGGAAAGTTAATAAAAAAATATCTGCCCCGAGGTTAACAGTTATGTTAAAAAAAAGACGATACATTTCATCAACATGTTCTTATCTAACTACAGTATGGACAACTAGGATTTATTAATCTTGTGTGTAAATAGCTTAGTGTTAAGATTACCTAGTACTGTATAGTAATTGTAGGACGTATGTAAAGTTAGGTTTGTAGATTAATATTTATATTCTTTGTTTAGGTACCACAGAGAGTAGACACAGATGGAGAGACGAGTGGTGTGGGGTCGTCAGTGGATGAGCCGATCGAGTCATCTACAGAATCTGCTTCAGAGGCACCAGTTTTGACCCCATCTTTCATACAGCCTCGACCATCTTCCTCAAGGGGTCCATCTACTTCTCCAACTGCTGTTAAGGTACAGTAATTGGTTTATTCTGTATTAAAGTTTTTAGATCACATGAAGATTATCCCCTCTAGCATATTTCACCTTAAGATTAACTATCCTAATGTAAACCTAACCGTACCAAATATAACTTAACCTTCCAAGTGACTCACAGGTGAATTACAGATGTATATACAGTCAACCCTCGCTTTACGCGGTCCCACATTCCGCGTTTCCACGTTTACGCGGTACCCTGCCGAAACAGGAATGCTCACATTCCGCGGTGCGTGTACCCCTTTACGCGGAGAGCGGCTGGCGAGCCGCGCCATTTTTGGATTCAAACCTCCCGCCATCTGCCATGTTGTGTAAGCTGCGCGAGCATGGTGCGCACAAGGTCGCCCAGTCATCAAAACATTACCGAGTTCTTCACCCGCCACCCACCACAGCCGTCCCAAGTCAGTGATAGTAATAATTATAGTGAAGATATGGACTTATATGGACTTTGAGGGGTTTGACAAAAAGGCCCTGCAAGCCTCTATGGTGGATAGTGATACAATTGATACAAGTGATACAGGTGAGGGCCAATAATCTGCCCTCTGCCTCGGAACCAACCGCCCATCCCCGTGTGCCCAGCCATCTTTTCTACTAATGTAAGTGTTAGAAAACCTAATATTATTGATATTTCTCTTAATTATTAATTGTTTGTGCATACCATCATCAAGTTAAGATAATATTTTTACTACAACATAGTTGTGTGTCGTCAAAAAGTGGAGTTTGGGGGTCGGCCCGGACTCTACTTCAATTAATCCCATATGTTATGTTATTCACTTTACGCGTTCCTTACTTTCCGCGGCACCCTGTGGGTTACATTAACCGCGTAAAGTGAGGGTTGACTGTATTAATACCAAATGATTCCTGATGTACAGTAGAGGGTGTTGCCTCAGAAGGGTGCTCTTGTATTCTGGTGTTTTGTTTCATGAATTTTGCTGGCTGAAGTTGATATTAATGTGTAGTTATTACCTCATTGGATTAATGAACTTACTGTGTGCGTAATTACAGAAACGGAGAGGAGGTTGGCCAAAAGGACGAAAACGGAAACCAGAGCTTCCGGGAGCCAAGCCACCAAAAGCTCCTCTGACAGCATATGTTCTCTTCCTGAATGAGAGGCGCAAATACTATAAAGAAACTCGTCCTGAATTGAGCTTTGGAGCTGTAAGTAGACAATAATGAATGATAAGAAGCACCCTATTGTTAGCTGGGGACAGAACTCTGATAAATTGTACGAGAACTCAGTAGTGATAGGCAAACATAATCATCCTTCATTTGTGTGGTTTTGTGTTCATTAATGTGAGATAAGATATTAATCTTTAGGAATGATAATTGTAAGGAATGGACATTACCTGATCATTTTAGTTTTGCAAATGACCAAGTTAATGTCAAGTTTTTATTGCCAGGTCACAAAGTTGCTGGGAGCCGAGTGGTCAGCAATGACTGCCGAGCAGAAGGCTGCATTTGTCACGCGGTCTGAGCAAGACAAGAGGCGGTATAGAAATGAATTACAAGCTTACAGACAGTCACATGATTATCAGCTGCTGTTGAGGAAGAAAAGAATTAAAAGTAAGAGTACGGTAGTTGAAATAAATAAATAGAATGTTGCTGTTTAGCTTCTCAATAGACATCAATGTTGTATTATGTTAATGTTATTGTTAAGCTGCTCACCTAAACTCATAATTCATGCATATTGTTCATAGCTCACACTTGTTTTTGACTTGCTCATACTCTTTCTAGCATATTTGCAGAAGATTTGTCAACTTCACATCCTTTACTTTTTTACTATTGTTAAAGAGTTTAATTTGGCTTCTCTGTTATGAAAATAATCCAGCTTATGTAGAGTAAAGGAAAGTAAGATAATCAAGGCAGGTGCACCAAGAACTTCAGCTGCTGTATAGTATAGAAGTAATCATATCATACTGAGAGTCTAGATAACTACTACCGTACCTATTTAACTTGTTCAAGATGAGCCACATGTATGAAGGTAAAAAAATACATATAATTCTTTGCAGATGTCATCAGAAGAGGTGGCACGACAACAGAAGAGTCATCAGACTTCACAGATGAAATTGATGTAAGTGATACTGTAGATGATGACATTACCAGGTACATAATTATACTGTATACCTGTTACACTTTCTGTAATTATCGTCCATCATCTTTTGAATGTTAACGTTCACAATTGGAGGGCATAGAATTCACCTATACAGTTTTTATTTTCAAGGCCTAAACTGGAGCATAACTTCACATGTGAGCACACAAAAGAGTCAGTGCTATATATGTAATGCTTTATCAGGGGTGTTTATCACCATCTATCTTGTAGTGTCCATCAAATAAAATCACAGGGAATAAATTGTATACTAGTACCCAATTTCTGATACATATTGTAAATTTCTTGATTCAATTTTATTTCCTCCGTGATCCTTTTTCAGGCTTTCATTAGACAGACAGGCTTGGATTGGGTTTTGATTTTCTTATTTCCTGTAGGACGACGACAGTGAGGAACTTTACTGCCGTATCTGTGATCAGTTGTTTACTTCTCTTCACAACAAGCGAGAACATCTGTATGGCAAACAACATCTGCAGGTAAATTTATTCTTAGATGTGAAAATTTGTTCATTATCATTTTGAATACAGTACTTATTATATAATTTATTATTGAGTTGGGTTGTTGTAGATGGTGATTGTTGATTAAGAGTGCCTTTTATGTTTGTGTTTTTTATAGCTTGATTAAGACTTATTTATACACATGAAGGGATGTGTTGTAGAGGGGAGAACAGATACATATGTACTAACAGATGCACAGAAACTTCAAATACAGTATAACTCGCATATTATCACTTCCATAAGTATCAGGAGAATAAAAAGAGGAAAAAGTAGATTATCATAACTGGGTCTTTATATTACAGGCCATTACAGGAGAATATCAGCGTGAAAGACTAGCAGAAGAGGAACGTCAGATGGCAGCTGCTGTAGTGTCTGGCAGGGGAGGAGACTGTCTCAACTGTGGGTCTTTTGTTAGTTCCCAGATGCAGTGTTCTCGGGCAGGTGAGATTTGGGTGTTGGCTGTTAATGGCGTCATCTGCATACACGATATTCATTATTCAAATTCCATTTTTCTTTACTAAGAAATTACTTGACTCCTAAGATCACTTTATGTCCACTTCTAGAACTACTTTAATTATATTTGTTTATCTAAAATTAAACAGTAATAGTGTGGATTACAAACTTGGTTTTGATTGTGGATTGGGTGTTAATGTTGCTGCAACCTTTTATTCTTGAAATGACATGGAGGAATCACACTCCTGGTTTAATAATAATATTAATTGTATATTTTGAGCTTGGACCACTTTTTTGTTTCAGTGGATATAACAATAAACCCAAATTTAACCCAATTAAATTTGTCTTTGAACTAAAAAAGTTAGCTAGTGGACTTAGGTAATGTCCTAGCCTCAACTTTTATATATTGTACAGTACTTATCCTTTGTGAGGGGTTCAGACACGATCATTCCACAGTGCATACAAACTTTAAGGGTATACTTTATATGTGTACCTGTATGTTGATAACCGTATATTTCATGTGCAGGGTTGAGTCTTTTGCCACCGGGAGTCTGCCCTACGTGTTGTTCAGGGGGACCAGTTTTACCTCATGCTAAGCAGTCTCCACGACCACATGATGAAGAAGATGACCATGATGGAGATGAAGAAGATGAGGAAGAGGAGGAGGAGGAAGAGGAAGATGATCAGGATGCTGATGAGGAAGGGGAGGTAACAGAAGAGGAAGGAGTAACTAGTGGCATGAGCAGCATGGCAGATGCCCTAGAAGGCGTCATGGCAAAAATGCTAGGTAAGGACAGTAACAACTATGCTTACAGGGTGGTTGGAGGCAAGAGCAGACACAGACTGTTACTCTGTCCATCCCACCCTTCCATTTCCTTCTTGATCTTCCCCAGAGTTTTCCAAGGTGGGTATATGGGGTTGACCTTTACTACCCTAAATTTCGACCAAGGAAAAATAGAAGCTTATTTTGTTAGGAGTTAACCCCTAGGCTTCAGGACGATCACGTCATATGACGTTCACCTGTAGAGCTCGGATCACATCATATGACGTTTTGATCTTTCGCGGGCCTATTTGAATAATAAGGGTGAGCCTGGCTACATTATGTTGCCAAGTGGGTATTTATCTTTCACCCAATCACACATGAGAGCCTCCCAGTCTCTTTTCATTAGCTTTTAAACTTTTGTGATGTAAGAATCTTGCCATTGGACTTGACTCACTTCACCAAGTGTTTCTACCCCAACCCCAAGCTCATATCTAGTATCTTGATTAATTACTGGTGCAGTAATAATTATTGTTAACAGTGTAAATAGTAATAACGTAAAACAAGTGTCCTGTACTTCATACTGCCTACAAATTAGTGTTGTTTACTTCGTACTATTGCATCACACGTACGCGACTTCACAAATATTCTCGATTCTTCCTAACCCCAGTGTTACCAACCTGTGGTAAGGACATGTATTTATTTGCTGTTTATATCATGCATGGCCAATTTGTAAGACTAAACTTGCTTTTTAATAGTTTTTTAAATGTTCCTGAATTTACCCACGAGAGAGGGGGGTGCTAACCATAGCCCGAAGCCCAGGGGTTAAAGCTAACCCATGCAGGAGTGGAAAATGATAATGGTGAGGGTAAGGATATGTTAGGAGAGGTTTTTTTTATAAGGAAGTAAATATACTGATGAAAGATATCCAAGATAAAGATGAGAAAATTAAATTATTTTAGAGATATGAAGGGAGATGGATGAGACAAGAGAACTATTAAAGAGAGGAGTTAAGACCATGTCTACTCCATGCATGTGGGAGTACAGGAGGGATTATAGAAAGATTATTTTGTGTCATGGCTAGTCTTTCCCTATTGCTATTTTCAGCTTTCATCTCTCCTCTGACAATCACATTAATATACTCTTACCATTATCTTTCTAAAAGGTTATCCCACACAAGCATTGAAAATGGCTGTAAAATGATGATGGGTGATGATAATGATGAGTTATCTTTCTTTTATTGATATCAAGGTTTACTTCGTATTGGCAATCAAGAGTGTGAGAACTTTGTGTTAAACCTTTTTTACTTCCTTGTTATAAAGTCACCAGCTTCTACTTAGAACTTTGATAAAATGGGAACCTTGATGCTGCAGTATTTTCTTTTGCTATATCATGTATCTAGCTGAAGTTTATTATCGTGACAGAACGAGAGCAAGAAATCAAGGCCTTAAAGCAGAGTAGTGAAGATGCCCGTGGCCACAACTTGCAACTTGCCACAACCCTCTTACAGTTACGTGAGCAAGAACAACAACTAGACAGGGACCATGAGTCACTTCAGAAAGAAAATGATCAGTTAAAATCAGAGGCAGATTCTCTTTGGATGTTGCCAGCTCTATTTGGAGTGACACCCCTAGAGATGGTCAACATCACGCTACGCCATGACCAACAACAAGAGGCTACGGTGGCATTGCTCGATGATACGTAAAAAAGTTCCTTTAGTCTATAGTGTGGTGTTGTATGTTGGATATTATTATTATTTCATAACATTTATGTGTTAAGTTTATAACAAATTCAGAGAGTGGTGGTTTAACATGTTAAACTCCGTGTGATAAGCCATACTTCATGTTCTGCTGAGGAAAGAGGAGTTTCGTGTTTGAATTTTTGACATTTGAATGTGTTTTGATGAAAATATGCAATTTATTATCTGTTGACTACATATTTTAAATTGTTGAAGATTAATGTTCTTGTGATAATGACTGCAAACAATTTCATAATATCTCATCATTAAGAGATTGTTGACAAACAACCATAAATATATAAAGTTGTTTTACTATACAGATGCAGTACAGTGGACCTTACTTGGGAGTTAGGTGTTTATAATATGCATAGATTATCTAAAAGAAGATAGGTCAATAGCAATCCCCAACAGACATTGTAATTTGTGATAGAACACAGCATTTGAAGGTTGATATTATATTGCTTGTTCATATAGCATTCTCTAACCAGGTTAAGACAAATGTTGTGCGTGAGTTTGTGTGTTAGAGGAAAGTCATTGTGTATTTCAAGGTTGTTACAAAGGAGAGATTAGTCATTGTTAATCATAGTCCCATCTCTTGAGGTATTGTGGGCCTTGCCTTACTATGTATATACCCTTGTACTGTACACAGTAAAATTTCAACACGGAATTTTAAGATTGAGAACAAAAATACTCTTCCATATTTTTTATCATATTTCATATTATGCTTTCACTTAGGAAGTAGCTAAACGTTGTAAGATATTGAGTGATGCATAAGAAAATATTCAACAAATTTATTTTTATCTATAGTTTAACTTGTAATAAGAAGGGCAGTAGTATGCAACATCTTGTGGTAGTGATACATAACAAAATGATGGCACCACACCATGTTTCCCCCAGAGCACCACACCATGTTTCCTTCAGGTAACCACACACCATGTTTCCCACAGGACACCACACACCATGTTTCCCCAGGTTACCACACACCATGTTTTCTCCAGGTCACTAGATCACATTATTGTATCCCGGTTCTTGCCACAATATAACTTACGTATGGAAAAATGCAAGGTTGCATTCTGAGACCTGTAAACCCATGACACTAGTAATTAAACATATGCTCATGAGATCACTGGCCATGGTCGACTCCTTAATTTTTTCTCCTAACAGGATGTATGTACAGTAGTTATATAGATTTTCAGTATAAATTTTATGTTTATTTCTGGATGTTATATTTGTGTTTTGACTTATGTCAACCTGTTAGTCATATTCTGACATCTTCAATGACAGGAAATACTGTAGATATTGTAAGGAACCTTTGTTGATCTACACTCAGGCCAACCAGTGATGAGATGAGGTATTCTCTAGACCAGGGGTTCCCAAGCATTTTCCAGTGCGACCTCGTTTAGTACTGTTGCCTATCCAGTGCGACCCCAAGTCATTACATACAGTATGCCGTATATATAAAGATCCTAAGAGTAAGTATGGACATATTGATATTCGTATTTAACTGTAAAAACAAGTAAGGAAAATGTATTACAAATTGAAAAGTTTAAAAGTAAACACTGGCAGAAACAGACTACAACTCTGTTGTGTTTATTATGTGACATTATATGATCATTTAATGTTCTATACTTGGGGATATAATTACAAGGTTAAGCAACACAACATACAATTTTCTCAGTTACGTCTCTGTCATACTGTACGTATTTTGAATGTGACTTAGTGTGCATCATCATAAAATTAATTTTAATTACAAGTTACATCAGTCATAATTCATATGTAATGTGTGTGCATTATCATTTTATAAATTTTCTGTTAACTGGGGTTATAATTGTGGGATTAAACAACATTGCAGACAATTCTCTAAGTTTAAGTTTGATATATGGTTACGGGGATAATTTTTCATAAACAGCATTGATGAGAAAGCTGCTTCACAGACTTCCAAATTATATCAAACCTTAATTGGTCAATTTTTAACCGCTGAATGCCAATTTGATAACTAACCCAAAACATTGATATGTCATCATAGATGGCAACACTCACCCTTGCCTCGTTGTCAGCCTGTAATTCTGCTATTTCGAGGACAAAAGAGCCACACTGTTTTACATCTGTCTTGAACAGAAACTGAACAAAATCCAAAGAATCAGTTAGCAACTCAAGGAATCTATCATTGAAATTTGCTGCCATTTTTTGTCTGCATCCATGGGAAGTACAGAGTGCATTGAGCTGAGAGCAATTCAAAGGTAGGAGTGTGAATTTTCTGTTGCATAACGTGTTATCAGTGTTTGCCTTCCCTGGACTGACCTAACTTAACACAAGAAGAGTAACTGCATTATTCCCTTGACCATAATTTATGGTCCCGACTTAACGAGACAGCACCTGTCGGCCACATCCTTCAGACCTTGACACCTGGACTATGAGCTTTATGGGACCCATCGACCCCATGACCTATATGCGACCCCTTATGATGCATCTTGCGATGGGGTTGCGGCCCCGTGTTTGGGAACCACTGCTCTACTGTAGACCCACCATGGGCATCACCTGTACCTGTTTTTGGCTCTTGACTACCATGTACACATTTTTTCAGCCATATTTAGTAATCTTCATGTTCAAACACAATACAAGACAATATACTTTAGGGGGCAGGGAAAACACACTTTTATTTGAGTTGCAGGCTGCACTTTTCAGGCATCGTTTGTATGGCTGTAACAAACACCTGTGCAAAATTTCATGCCATTTCATGCATACTTACCCTGCCGCATCGCGAACGACTTTTTGTCAACTTTTAGTGTATACCAAAAATTAGGTGTCATTTAATGTTTTCCAGGATAATGATAAATTTTACATGGGTGACATCGATTTAATTCACATGTTATTTTACAGGTACACCGTATAGAAAATCATTACAAGTTCATATTGAAATTCTTTTTTGTGCGGAACCTTGGCATCATTTTCCTAGACAATAATCTTTGCCTAATATATCCATCTCTCGATTCGTATCCCGTCACTTCAGTGCAAGCTTCAGTCATCACTTTTATGCCTCTCTCGACCGCCTGAGTGCTGTTTGGCCACTTGGGCACCACTAATGGTGTCTCAAGAATGTCATTAACCTGTAGATTTGACAGAGAAGCACTGTAAGGAGGCTCAGTCTTGAGTTCATTCATCCAGTTAATCATGGAATGATAGTTTTTTGCTTGCCACTTTAGTTTCGGAGTCACCACCTTTCTCATGTTGACTACAGGAGGCACATCCTCATTCCCATCTCCATCTTTACCCTCCTCATCAGTATAGTTTAACAAATTCTCGTCAACAGCAGCATCAGAATCTTCCTCCTCTTCTTCAGATCTGCCAGTGCATTCTTCCTTTTGCTGATTCTCCTCTCTAATTTTTCTTATCATTGAGACAGCTTTTTCTCTAACAGTCATGTCCTCATCTGCACACATACCAAGAAGAAGTTGATCTGTGTGGGCGAAGTATGCATTTCTCTGGACAGCCTTCTTCACTATCGTCTCCTCCTCACTATTCAGGTGTTTCATATATAGCAGGGACTGGAATACGTTCCTTGAGCCGTGTGTTACGTAAGGGTGTATCTTGATGTAAAACCACATTGGAGCACTGAACTTTATTATTGTAATGACAATTCTTTTCAACTCATGGCTGGGTCTTGATGTTGCTACATACAGCCTGAGGATTCTACTCCATAAGGTGTTCCACCTTGACACACAGGGAGGACCTGGCTCAATAGCAGCCAAGTCATCTTCAACAACACCTGTGATAACTCCTTTACAAATCCTATACAGGTATTTCTGATCCCAGGACAGATCTTTCTCCACTTCATCATTAAACACAGGGAAATCAGGGAAACTGACTGGCTGGAAGGCGACAACTGGAAGCTCAGACAAAGACTCCTTGATCTGCTTTCCAATGGGACCACGCCAATGCTCAGGACCACTTGGTTTACCATCATAGTGATAAAAAACTGCGCGGAAAGGCAGCTCATTTCCGTGAAGCTGACATATGAAATAATGGAGCGGGTGACCAAGTAACATTTCAAGATGATGAATGACTCCATTTTCTGATCCTACATTTACATTGGTTCCATCACAACCAACACACACAATGGGCTGCTGGGTTAGATTTTTCTCCACCAGAAACTCGTGAATAGTTTTGGCAATCTGCTTTCCGTGTCCAGTCTTGGGAGTCACATGTGTGAGATATTCATTGCCAGGCTCAACCATGATGACATAATGATCTTTCACCATTATCCTCGAACTCCATTTCTCGGTCTTCTCATTCTTTATCATCACACGAGTGGCGGTCTTCTTACCATCAAAATAGAGTGACGTCAAATTATCTAAACTAGTCATCTCAATTTCTTGCCTCTTAAATCGGTATTTTTGTCTCGCATCCCGCAGCTTATGTGGTCCAATAACCTGACTCTTGTCATCCTTTGTGATAATGCCATAGTCAGTTAAGGTGGCAGTAGCAATGGCAGCTCCAGCATAATCACTAATCAAGTATCGGTCACAAGCGGCAGCCAGTGTAGGGAGTCTTGTCCGGTTCTGTGAACTGGTGTCTGTCAGAGCCCTTGGATCAGGGACAAAATGAGGCTGATAATCAATATAGACATAGCACCATACTCATCTGCAACAAGACAACTTAAATGAAATAAGAGATAGAAAAAAAAGTTGATAAACACTGAACAGAACATTGCACCGCCACAGCGGCTGTTTGGCTAGTACTGTAGGTAAATTTAAAAATTTCAGTAGAAAATGCGGCAGACTAAACCTCGACACATCAGCTTCAAATTTGGCATGGAGTCTTAGATATGTATAAGGAACAATGCCTGAAGAGTGCAGCTTTGAGCAAAATTTCACTGCCCCCTAATATACTTAATACAGTACAGTGAGTTCTGCTATAACGCGTGTTTTGACAACGCGAATTGGCTCTAACGCTATTTATAAATAGAGGAACGATATTTGTAAAATGCGAATACATGTTTGCTGTAACTCAATTTTTGCTTACTATTTCTTCAATTTTGTGGTATTAACTGTGAATATGGTAAAGAAGAATATCTCCAAGAAGCGTTCTGGTGATCGCATTCCCGGTGATGATCGTAAAAGAAAGGCTATAACACTTGAAGAGAAGTTCGATGTTATCAACCTCAAAATCACCCTTCTCCCCCATCAAGTTATATTCATATTTTTTGAAGGTAAAGTGTTACATTTACTGTATGGTTTCATTATTAGATATGAATGTAACATTTATTTAGACTGTGCTATCCTTTGTATTAGGCTAACTACTAATTTTTTTTTCGATTTCGAGTAATCTGCACCTAACCCTATTTTCTCCATAAGCCCTGTTATTTCTATTACGCGAATTTCTATAACACGATGTTTTACAAGAACACAACTATCGCGTTATAGCAGAACTGACTGTATTCAAATTAAAAAGGCAGAACAATATTATTTCAGCCGCTATACTAATTATATGGAATAGGAAATTGTTAAGAATGATTTTTTGTTGTGATATTGAATACAGTACATAAACCTTACTTCCCTATAAGAATGAGGTGAACAATTTATGTTTCACACACAATTCAGTAAAAAATTTTGTTTGTACTGTGCTGTACTTGTACCGTACTTGTTTCATATTAAATTTCAATGCATTTCTCTTCAGTTTATTTAAATTAAAAGGAAACTTCTGTTGTTAGTGTACCTGAAATTTGAGATAGGGAGCTGGGATCTCAGTCAAATTGTTGTTAGCTCCCTGAGTGGCTGTGCTTGGAATGCCACTAATTGTGATGGTTCAAACACTTGCAACACACAAAATTTTCCCAAATAGTTTGCTGCAGATATTATGTACACTAGATATGTGAGTTTATGGTGTGGTGCTCTGAGAGGCAGATGTACCGTAAATTTTTTTCATAAGTGCCGTGGCACTGTGAGCCGGATACAGTGTGCTGAAGCATACAGCAGCTGTTGAGAACTATGCTTTTGAGTATACTGTTGTATAATGGAAAATTGTAAAGCATCATATGACTGTGTAAAAATGCCAAGTAACTTACCTCATTCGTATAAAACCTTGCAAAAAGTAAGAGTGAATAACATGTTTAGAGTAAGATTGTCCAAAGATGTTCAGTA